AGAAATTTTTGAAATTATGCTTAGAGAAAATTCTACCTAGCTGACGGACTTTTTTTGGAGCTGTACGGGGTATCAAAAATTTGGCAAATACTGCTTCGTGGTCTAAGAGACCTGAGCTAATTACTTGGTGCTCTACATCAACGGGTTTAAAATCAGAGACTACGTAATCTATAATTGTAGATGTTGTTTCTGTGATTCTAGTTGGAGAATTTACGTGCATAGTGAGACTGAATGATTCAAAAATATTGATCAGACTTTTGAGTAGCACATACATTAGCAAAATCAATATTAAAATCGCCGCATAAAATTTTCTTACTTTTTATAGGCAATGCGTCAAGTAGATTAAGAAGATTCTCTAGAAAGAGGTGAACATTTGATTTAGGTGTTCTATAAATACAAATAATAAACAAATCAATGTTTTTGTTGTTTATAATGGAAAATTCGAAGAAATTTTCAGCTTGTAGAAAGTCGTATTTAGATACAGCAGAAAAGTCCTTGTCTAAGGATAAAATTAGAGTTCCACCATGGTCTGTATTACTTCTATCATATCTGCTGACGATAGTATATTTTTTGACAAAAACTGGTTCACCAACTTGTAACCAGTGTTCTGTAATAGCAACTATTTGGGGAAACCCTAACTCTTCCAAAAACAAATACAATTCATCAGTCTTATTCCGTATTGATCGAATATTAATTAGAACCATTCTTAATTTACTGTCGGCATAGACAGTAAGACTAGTTGGGGATTCTAGTTCCCCAGGACACGTCGTATTAATTAAAAATTTTTCCTAGGTGAATCGGCAGTAAAATAACGATGATTGTACTCCCTGTGCTTCTGCAGGTTTATTCTTCATTCCGCGGATATATATGCTCTGTAGGTAGAGAGATCGTTATCCACTTCAGCTGAGCCAATACCATATAGATCATGATAATCATAATAAATGGTCCGTAGAGCTCCAGGATCAACAGGCAGTCCCTCAGAGGCTAGAAACACTTTTACACTTGTGTTCGTGTAGCCCTCATGACAGACAGATAGATGATGGTTGGTCATGAAGATAGGCGAGGAAGAGCTTGAGGGAAGAGCTTGAAGGACGATCAATCTTAAAATACAAGATTATGCCTACACTTCACTCAATATTTATTTTCTTATTATAACGAGATATATTATTTGAAGCAAACTCTCCTTTATTTTAAGTGTAATCTTCCAAGTATAAATCTTTTTTTGAATATAGATGATAATTTTTTCTCTAAATATTTTGCAAATATGTTTGCTTATTGAAAATTTTTTGGGCTTAGTTTCCATCTCTGTTTCTGATTGGTGGATTATATTTAGTAGGCCTTTTTAATCGTTTGGTAGTTTTTCAGAGTGAATAACACGAACCTGTGTATATGGTTAGTTAATTCACTTAAGTACTCGCCAATCGACTCATTTCACGTTTCAGCTGTTTCAAGTTGTTTTATTATTTGGTGCTCTCTCTAGACTGTTGCCATTTTCTTCTAATTTTCCTTTTTTTTTTGAGGTAATATAATTGATCTCTTTTGGATGATTATTATATTGCACTATACATTTAATCTCAGGAATGTTTTTTGACAAAAAGTTCAACTTCTTGGTCTAATTGTTCCTTAGTTCCTAAAATGGAATCGAAAGATTAATCAGTTCTTCTAAGATGATTTTGAAGCTTTTCCAATCTGTGTTTAGGTAAATTCTCTTTTTTAATTACAATATCACTCAATGTGAGAAGTATGGGAAAATGATCTGAGTTCAGGTCCCATGATTCTTCTATTTGTATATAATTTAAGGCTATTGATTCAAAAAATCTATGAGATCAGGAAATTTGTTCGAAGTTTAGGCCAGTATTTATGCTTTCGAGTTGATATTGTTTGACACTTGTGCTGATAGCATGCTGCTAATAGTTCTTTCAGTCTCGATCCACAGTTTGCATTAAAGTCTCCTCCCACTATGAATCTGTATCAAAACTGAGCAACTATGTACTAAAGTAAGTTTACTTAAATCGGATTATTTTGGTAGAAGGAATATGTGGTATGTTTTTGTAAAGACCTTTTACAGAGACCTTGTATATCGACCTCCCTTGGGGTAAGGGAGAAGTAGAGGGGGAGAGATTGGGTGGTTTGAAATCGTTTTTCACGATCGTCTACTCGTCCATGTAATATTGTTCAAGTTGGTTTGAAATTAAAGGATGCTCGTGTTCGCAATAGGCTCATTTTATTACTCAATCATTATTCATATTTGTGGATCAACGGATTTCATATCTCAAAGTTGGAAAAAAAAATACTATGTTTAAATTTTTTTTATTGATAATACTAGTTCGTCAATAGCTACTAAAAAAATCGGTTTACAAACAAAAGAGAAAATGGTACTGAACTATTTTGTTTTTGCTTATTTATATATATATATATATATATATATATATATATATATATATATATATATATAATTAAACCAGTAATTTGTGGGTAATGCAGCAAATGAAAGATTACTTTTTTAAGTTTATTCCAAGCTTTCGGAAATGTTTATATATATATATATATATATATATATATATATATATATATATATATATATATAAAAGGAGATAGTTTTTTCGACCGGAAAATATTTATTTTTAAGTGAAGATAATATCAGGTTAGCGGTCCTAAGAAATAAAACTCTTTTTTTCCTTACTTGCAAGTAAGGAAAAGAGTTTTATTTCTTAGGACCGCTAACCTGATATTATCTTCACTTAAATATATATATATATATATATATATATATATATATATATATATATATATATATATATATATATATATATATATATATAAACTAAGGAATCTTGGGATTTTCAGCCAAAATCTTACAAATGTGTACTCTTTTAAGTATTTATTCCAAGCTTTCGAACATGATTATGTTCATCTTCAGGGAGCTACAATATTAATTTTTACAATGGTTATAAGTTAAACAATTTTGAAAAGACATATACTTACAACTCAGTGAGAATCGTTGCGTACATGTGGTATTATATTAATAAAAAATTACGGTACATCACAAAACGAGACAAAAAATAGTTAATAACAATCCTGTTAGCCAAAAAAAACTCACAAAATTATTAAAACCACTTGAAAACATAAAAATTGCTGAAAAACCTCCTCACTAACAACATAGTGTTTTCAAAATTAAAAGATAAAGTTCCAAAAACATCTTTGAGTGGTGTAGTTTACAGTATCCCGTGTGGCACATGTCAAAAGATATACATTGGACAAACGGCTAGATGCCTAAAAGATCGCATAACCTCCCACCGTAGTGATTGTAGATTACACCCTGAAAGATGTGCTTTGGCAGAACATGTCAACAAAAATGACCATATAATGAATTATGATAGTGTTTCTGTGCTAGAAAGAGAAACTAATATTTCTAAAAGACAGTTTCTAGAAATGGCACATATCTATCAAAATGAAAACTGCATTAATAAAAGAACAGATATCAAACACCTTAGTGAAATATTCTCATATCTGTTACATGTTGACAAACACCGTGTCGTTAATGGAGACATGTCAGGAATTTCTGATGTATAGGCCCCATTGTTAAAATTTCATTTTTTAGTCATCTCTAAATGCACTGGTCCTGTGGGTGGTGACAGAATAGTTGAGGAGGGACTTTAACTCCTTTAGAGGTTTTGGTTCCTGCTCAGCTGGTGACACCACCAACAGGCCTGTGACATGTTTTTAATCAAATCAAAATTTCATCCGTTTTTCTCAGTACTTTTTGAGTATTTTCCCCAATACTTAACACTGTTCAAAATGTCAATTGTTATTGCATAGTGGTTTTTTTTTTTCTCCAATTTACAAATTTGCATTAAAACTAAATGCACTGGCCCTGTTCGCGATATCGTCAGGTGAGTGTTCCGTCCAACCCGGGCAAGGGGGATGACAACCTTTTAGCTTAGTGCGTTGGGATGGTTCACTCAGAGGGTGACGTCGCTTATAGGATTAGTGACATCTTGAAAAACAAATCATAATTTTATCCGTAATACCTTCTTGCAATGATTTCTGACATTTAAAAGATAAAATATAATATTTAAACAATTTATTTCTTCATATGACTCTTAACAAATTTCTTCTTTCTCCTACTGTTTTTGACTGACGGTTGACAGACATATGACAACTGACCTTCTGTACCCACGCTAAAAATAGTTCAAATAGTAACATAAAAAAAGTTTCATTTTCATTTCTAATACCGAACGGTGTTAGATGTGAATTTTTATTAATTGTTTTTAAAATAATTTGACCATGTGCCCTAACGTAAAATTAAAAATAATCTTTTTGGCTAACAGGATTGTTATTAACCATTTTTTGTCTCGTTTTGTGATGTACCGTAATTTTTTATTAATATAATACCACATGTACGCAACGATTCTCACTGAGTTGTAAGTATATGTCTTTTCAAAATTGTTTAACTTATAACCATTGTAAAAATTAATATTGTAGCTCCCTGAAGATGAACATAATCATGTTCGAAAGCTTGGAATAAATACTTAAAAGAGTACACATTTGTAAGATTTTTGCTGAAAATCCCAAGATTCCTTAGTTTATTTTCTAACTAGTCAGCAAAGACTAAGCCACTTTTGGCTTTTATATATATATATATATATATATATATATATATATATATATATATATATATATATATATATAGTTCTAAAAAAATTCAATTTCATTAATACAAATAAGTCTAGCACTAAACAAATAAAATTACAAATACTAGTTGACACGTAAAGCGAAACTGTATTAAAATCACCTGAGGGCAACGTATTACTCAAATACTCAGTCTCCGCCTATGGGATTCCTTTAATTTAAATTGTAGGGCTTTTTCTCTCGATTTTAGTTTCTCGTTTTAACTATCCGCTCTTGATACTCCTACTTTTTGACACTATTATCCAACAATTAATACTAAAACATTGCAGTTATTTTCTTACTGAAATGTAATTACATTTTTGTTTCAGATGGCCCATATTCAGACTGCAAGTCAGACGACGAAAGAAAAAAAAGACCGAGAACAGCATTTACTGCTGCTCAAATCAAATCTTTAGAAGCAGAATTTGAAAGAAACAAGTACCTGTCAGTAGCCAAGCGATGTCAGTTGTCAAAAACACTTAAATTGACGGAAACACAAGTAAGTAACCATCCAAACTGAATCAAAGGAAAACTCTTCTTTGTGTTTTTTTGATATGACGAGTGTTTATGGTTTCGTTATTTTATTTTTGAGAGATTAGGCTTTTTTTACGTTTATTTTTAACAAATACTAAGGGTCGGTCTTTTACCATTGAGAAAAGTAACTGCGTGCTGATTAAGTTAAGGCTGTTCTACCGCTTTTCGTTCGGTCGAAGTTGAGAGGTACCACATCCATTTCATAGAATATCTCTGTACGCAACCCTCTCTTTGTTTATGTAAAGACAATTGACGTGTAATAATTCTATATTTTTCTGTTCAGTCTAATGAGACGCCTATCTTTCTCGGTATTCAAATTCACCAGAAAACGCGGGCTCGCCCAAATTGTCTGTATATTGTAACAACTACCTATCGTGTTGATATTAATTTCGTTCCAGAGAATATTTTTATGTATTACTTAGACGCCAGATACGAAAGTTCTCTTTCTTATTAATTGATTAACGTTTTTTGAGAGTCACCTAGTAGAATTATTTTTTAAATAAATGATTAACTACATATAAATTGATTTTATTTTATATTCTAAGGTGAAATAGTAAAGAATTTTTATACATATAATTATTGATCGAAATTTTTTGTAAATAAACATTATTGTTGTTATAACTAATATTCGATAATAATCACAAAAACAGATTACATCAATTTCTTCTTACAATTTCTTTTATTAAATATTTTAAATAAAAATCAACTAACTTTGGTTCAGCACATAACCAAAAATTGTCATCTCTCTCAATTTTCTTAACGAACATTCCTAGTGGGGTCCAAACTATAAAATAACAATATTTGGTTTTCGTTATAGCCAATTGCCCTTGTACTTGATAATAATAATAATTATCTTTTTTTTTAATTTAATTTGGCCATCTGTATTGGCTAGATGTTTAATTTAATAAGAAAAACTCAGGTTTAAAAAGGCTCATATTACTTAGTTCACCTTTAAAGTAGGTAAACAAATAAGTAATATTAAAAAAAATAACAATATAATACGAGATATAAGAAGTATACTAAAACTTACCTTTTACTTGAGACAGATTGAGACTTTCTCTTATACAATAATTTTCTTTTTCCCATTTCACAATATCAAAAATAACACACAAATTACACTCAAAATACAAGGCTCAAATTAAAATTTGATGAGTTAGAATATGTCGTTGACTTGTATTTGTAAGCGGATCTCTAGGGGCATGATTAGTTACACAACAGGTAAAAAATAATAAAAAATATATTATTGTGGGATATTTTATATGGCGTATATCCCATCAATAAATAAATACGAATTCATGAAAATATAATTTTAAAATAAATTTTATGTCATGACATGTATATATAAATTGTAAATTCTAAAGTCATAATTATTATAAACAATATTTTGTTTCCCTCGCAATGAGTTCAACCTTTTGTCTTTGCTAGAACTCACGAAAGGTTATCTAAATGATGACGGCAATTTAATGTGTATGACGTAATGAAAATGAAAAAGATATGTAGTGCAAGTATGTCGCTACATAACTCCCCCTTATATAAAAAATGTATTGTCAGTCATCAAAAGTCGATAAGGTGTTGATTGTTGTATATATCTATATCTACGAGTACCTTCATCTTAATCAAAACAAAATTTTAATGACTCTGTATATGAAATTGATTGAAATTTTTAATTTAATTGTCAAAAATATGTCATCAGTAATGTCAGTATTTTCTATAAATAATGTTGTATTTTAGATCGTGTTCTGGATGAATTATCCATGCTTTGATTATCGAAATTGCCCCGTTGTTAAGTGTTTAGTAATACTATGTTATCTAGCAGGTTCTTTCTATTATATAAAGAATACTGCCATTGATACAATTAAGAATTACCATACTATTAGGATAGTTAGTGTCCTAAATAGAAAAACATTAACGAAAAGAAGGCATTAATAGTTAAACATTCTACGATCTAATAAAAGTAACGTTAATCATGAGGTACAAATAGAAATATGAGTAGTTAGTGGGCAACTTGGGTACACTTTTTAAACTGCGCAGGCGTGGCGTTTGACGTTTTCTATTGACGTTTTCGATTGACGTTTTCGATTGACGTTTCGTTTGACGTTTTCGTTTGACGTTTTCGATTGACGTTTCGCATGATGAAACATCAAACGAAATGTCATACGAAACGTCAATCGAAACGTCAATCGAAAACGTCAATAGAAAACGTCAATCGAAAACGTCAATCGAAACGTCAATCGAAACGTCAATCGAAAACGTCAATTGAAACGTCAAACGCCACGCCTGCGCAGTTTAAAAAGTGTACCCAAGTTGCCCACTAACTACTAATATGATTTTTTTAAATCTTTATTCTTTAAATATCAATGTATAAATGTACCTATTTGATAAGTTAAAATTTTCTTTTTATTTAGTTATTTGTTTTTTATTTAGTAATTACTATTATGTAGACAGGTTCTTCCTTATGCGAAGAAAACAAGACATAAGTAAATACTAATTTTGTTGTTCTCTTGGACAATTATGGTCCTTAATAGAATAAAAAATATTAAATACACTAGTTACATGTAGTTGGACAATTAAAGTCCTTAATTTATAGAGAAAGTAAAAGTTGAAAAGTCTTTTGGTAGGTAGAGAGGGGGTAAACGTCAAACCACGTCGGGCGGCCAATCGGAGTCCAATCCACGTATCTTGTTCGGAACTTTTCGGAATTTTCCGGAGGCTTACTGGATCTACATTTTTTTTTAGTAGGACCCGTTAGAGAATCCGGGTTATCGGGAACCGCAGCAGGCTCAAAAAACCGAGGTACGGCCAAAAATAAAGCCGTCGCTAACGCGTACTACCCATAAGTATCTCACCAACAAATAGTATCAGATAGATGTATCCTCAAAATCTTTGAAGGTCGGGCATTCTACGAGGTCACCAATTGTGGGATATTTATATGGCGTATATCCCATCAATAAATAAATACGAATTCATGAAAATATAATTTTAAAATAAATTGTATGTCATGACATGTATATATAAATTGTAAATTCTAAAGTCATAATTATTATAAACAATATTTTGTTTCCCTCGCGATGAGTTCAACCTTTTGTCTTTGCTAGAACTGCCACGAAAGGTTATCTAAATGATGACGGCAATTTAATGTATATGACGTAATGAAAATGAAAAAGATATGTAGTGCAAGTATGTCGCTACAATTATACTAAATTTTTACAATCAAAAGAGCGAGTTAGACCCTGGCTGAATTACTTTATATTTGCTAATCCAAGCAATCGTTGTTTCCAAGTATATGATGAAGAGAGATATACACTGAAACTTTCTTTTTTCAATGCGACGTGAGGACGCTACTGCAGATGATTGCGGCGCATCAGTGCTCTTAAAGAAGAACGTTGGTGGGGAGATTTATTATTTCTTAACCAGCGTTGCCAACGGTTTATCAGGAAATTACTGGCAAAATGGGATCAAAAGGCTGGCAATTACTGGCAAAATATTTTCGATTACTGGCAATATAGCATGTTAATTTTTTCTAGTACCTAGGAACAGCCTAGGCCAAAAAAGATTAAAGTCCCGTAAATTTAGATAAAGAAAACAATGACGTTGGTGTGTGGCCTTTAGCTGCTTTGAAATGAGGTTGACATTCTGCGGAGATATTTAGAAATGTACTAGAAAATTCGAGGAAAAATGTACTAAATTTAAGATTTACTGTCAGTTGTCAAAACTGTCATGTATGTTGTCAGTTGTCATGTCAAATGTCAACTGCAGGATGGATGTTTGTTTTTAATGAAGGTTATTAAAATAGTAAAAAGTTAAATTTAAAACAAAATTTCGGTTCACGGATCACGGATCGTCGAACTACGACGTACATAGACATTGACATTTGACATTATATTTGCGACTTTATTTTTTTTGTTTCTCTTCTTTCTCTATATGACACCGGTGACAGTGGTGTGAATTCTGAATGTCAAATGTCAATCTAAGATACTAGAATGATGCCTCGAATTAAAAACCGATATATATTTTTTGCGGAATAATTGGAGAATCCTAAAATACTGGCAAATTACTGGCACAAAGTCATTGCTGGCAAAATTACTGGCAAGCTTCAGTTTTACTGGCAAATGCCAGTAATTACTGGCAGATTGGCAACGCTGTTCTTAACCGTTCGAACCCAGTCGTAAAAATGATTTGGGCGAGAGATCAACGCGCGTTTGCAGTAGAAACGTTCTTTTCACAAGGCCGCTCAATGGTTGCGGTGCAGCGTGCGTTCCGTTTACGGTACAATATTCCCCCTCGAGGAGCTGTTCCTGTCCGGGGATCCATCTTATCCTGGGTGGAGGCTTTAAGAACAGTTGGAAATGTGTGTCGCAGGAGACCAAGAGCAACACGGTCCGTTAGAACACCCTCAAACATCGAGGTAGTCCGAGAGTCGGTTTTGCGATCTCCTAGGCGCTCTGCTTCAAAACATGCGGCTGCCCTGCGGTTGTCGGATCGTTCAACTCGCCGAATTCTTCATAAAGACCTTCACTTTCACCCCTACAAAATGGTAGTCGCACAAGAACTTTTCGAACGTGATTTTGTTTCACGACAAAGGGCATGCGAAACGCTCCTTGATAATTTGCCCCCTGAAGCAGTTGTGTTTTTTAGTGATGAGGCACACTTCCACCTCTCAGGTTGTGTCAATAAACAAAATATGCGTCATTGGAGCGTTATAAATCCTAGGGAAGTTCATCAGAGGCCTCTTCATGCGGATCGGGTCACAGTTTGGGCTGCGATATCAACCTTGGGAATCATTGGGCCATATTTTTTTGAGAAAGGCAATCGCACGGTTTCGGTAAATTCTGAGCGTTATGTGGCAATGATTAATAACTTCTTTCTGCCAGCTCTTGAAAATATGGCTATAGGCGAAGTATGGTTTCAGCAAGATGGGGCCACGGCCCACACATCCCGATGGCTGTTTTACGAGAATATTTTCCAGGGTGACTCATCTCCAACAGGGGTGACATACCGTAGCCCGCACGCTCGCCACATTTAGCCCCATGTGATTTTTTTCTATGAGGCTACTTTAAATCTAAAGTCTATAACAACCATCCTGCAACTGTGGAAGAATTGAAAAACAATATTCGTCACGAGATAGCCGATATACCGATTGCAATTCTCGAAATCGGCTACAACAATGCATCGACAGCAACGGTAGACACTTGTCAAATATTCTTTTTAAGACATCTTAATTTCAAACTTCCCATGGTATTACTTAATATTAATAATAATAAAAAAAATAAAATGTACAATTTATACTTTTATTTTTTATCTTTAAAAAAAGAAAGTTTCAATGCCGGACCCTGTATATATTGGAAAATGGTTTATCACAAAACTCAATTAGTTTTTGAATTTAGCAAAAACTTGTAAATAAAAAAAAAAAAATGGAAAAAAATAGAAAAAGTCAGCTACAAATTCCAGTTTTCCAAAAATTTATATCTGCAAATTGATAAAATTTAATATAAATTTTTAATTTTTATTTAAAAAACTAGGGTATAACAAAAAAATTAAAAGACTGGAGATTATTAGGGCGTTTCTTTTGAATCAGCAAAAAATGAAATTATACTGATAATAAATAATTAAGAGACATGGACAATGCTAAAATAGTGAACCGCAAAAACAGCCTCGATGGCTTTCTTTTGGGAGGAAGAGGTTGTACCTCATCATAACTTGTTATATCCGATGTTAAAAGAACCTTTGTTGTTTTTTTGGCTACCTATTTGGTAGTTCTCTAAAACAGATTAATAATTTTATACACTATACTTTTTTAAATAAATAAAATGGCTCGCAGAGATTGTTTACAAAATACTATAACTGTAATAGGTCTTCGTAACCAACAAAAATTCAAAAAATATATCAAGGTATATAATGCAAAATAATTTCATTAAACGATGTAATTAAAACCACAGTACATAAAGGGTAAGGTTTTAGTAATAATATATAAACAGTGTTTCAGTTGTCTAAAGGTGAATTTAGTCAGCCTGACTTAGTTTTAACATAAAAGTTATCAATTTATTTCAATGTACCTGTTTATACAGAATAACATAGGCATCAACATTAACATAAACAGTGTAAAGATAAATAAAAATTAAGTTAACGAAAAATCCGCCGACGGTCGAACGGGCTATTTTTTTTTAACGATTTTAGACCCTCTGAAACACATTTTAAAATACTTTTTTTGCCCTGCAAACGCTATAAAATATTTTTTTCTTACCTTAAAACTATTAAAATGTGTCCTCCAATTTCGATGTTGAAAAAATTTGACTACATCATTTTGATTAATTTCTTGTTATAGAACCGGCTAAATAATAACACTAGACCATCTATAATGCAATAAACCATCCTAATTTTTTGGTAAACAGTTTATTTTTTTAATTTAAGCCCATGTTTAGTTTCGTCGAAATTTTTTAATTTTCGTAGAGACTATGACAATAAAGATTTGCAGTGTGACATATGTCTAAAAGAAATAAAATGTTGCCATATCAATTATCTATTATACATATAGCAATGGTAATTTTTACCTATGCCCTGCGTTGTATCAGGCCAACCAATTAACTTCAGTATTAGAAAAATTATATAAAACTAACGATTTAAAAAATACCCATATCAAGATCTTCGTCCTCACCCTCATCGGCAGAGTACTCTTCGACGACCTAACCTAACCTAAACTAACAATATACAATAAGAAGATGGTAGCAACTACCGGCATAGACTCCAACGGCCTGGACACAGCTCAAATTGAAAAAAAAAACCTAACCTAACCAACCCTCATTAGCGCCTGGCCAGTGAACCTCGATCCCAATATGAAAATATACAATAAGAAAATAAAGCAATGATTTCTTGTAGGGTGGCGGCTTCGCCGCCACCAGAAAGTTTTTAAACCATACCTAGCTACGCCGACCGGCATAGACCTTAACGGCCTGGACACAGCTCAAATTGAAAAAAACCTAACCTAACCAACCCTCATTAGCATCTGGCCAGTGAACCTCGATCCCAACTTTTAACGAACGTGTCTTGTATCATGGGCATCTAATAATAAGAAAATATACAATCAGAAAATGAAGGAACGACTTCTTGTAAGGTGGCGGCTTCGCCGCCACCAGAAAATGTTTAAACCATACCTGGCTACGCCGTCCGGCATAAACTCCAACGGCCTGGACACAGCTCAAATTGAAAAAAAAATATTTTTTTAAATATTAGATAAGTACCGACATGCCGTAATTAACGTACAATCATCATGAAATTAAATAAAAAGACGGTTGTCTGTGATTACTACAAATGTTTCACTTAAGAGATCCAAATTTACCTGTTCACTATGTAATTTTTCAGCCAACTTTCACTAACCAAATTATTTCCAGACTTATATGTTTTCTTACTCGATTTGGCAACACCGCATTTATAGAAACTAGACACATCAATTGTCATTGAAAATAATTTAATGTTTATTTACAAACTAAAAATGAAATATATGAAAATTTGATCGTTTATGAAAAAATTTGGTGCTCTATGAATGGTCTTATATTGATATTTAGCCGCTTCTACAATAAGAAATCAGTGAAAATGGTTTATTTCACATTTGTTTTATGATGGAGACCCGACAACAAATTTTAAGGATTTTAAGGTAAATTTTTTTTTTAAATAAGTGTTAGCGGACCCAAAATTGTTAAGTATAGTGCGTTTCAAAGTGTCTAGAAACTCTTTATAACATTTCAATAGTTATATACGCCGTTCGAGTGTCGGCGTATAATACCCAATTTTAAAAGCACCTACCACCTATCTTTTTCCTATTTTTAAAGATTTGTCAAATCTTAGGTATGTGTATATTTAAAATATCTTCATGAATGGTTTTGTTTTAAAATCCTTAAATTTTTGTTTATATTGTCTACGGTAATAATTAAAACAAAATTGGGCTAGCTACAGGCACCTTTACAATAAAAAAAATCACTCACCTTCGGTAAAATATATTCTATAAATAGGAAAGAGTCCAATTTTCTTCTTTTTTAAGCTCTTGTTAAAAGATTCTTGTTGTTTACAAGAACCTCCTTTCCCAGGATGTCGGCCACTTGTTGTGGTTTAATGATACTCCGGTTCCGTGCTTGTCGGCTTATTGAATTCCTATAAACATACTAAAAATAAACAATAATATCGCACTAAACTTCTTAACTACTTACGTTCAAAAAACATAAAATCATACAATAAAGGTTATGGTGAATGTTGCAAATACAGGTTGCAAAAATGACAACAAATGGACAATGCCATGACAGCTGACATTTCCAAACAGTGTTGACATAAAATTTCATTTAAAAAGAAAAATTCCCAAAAATCCCTAAATTTATAATGAGAATCATAAATTATTATAAACACTAAATATACTTTTATTAATAAATAGAATGTAAAACAATAAAGGTACAGAATCGACATGTACACGTGCGCAGTTTAACGCCTCATTTCGGAACGTGACGAACTGGTCCCTAAATAACTTCATAGTACGTCTTATTTTGGTGTCACAATGACTGCTAAATAAACGATGTTGTATAAATTACCTTCTATTCATTTAATAATGAATAACAAAAACTCGAAGTACATTAATGACATAAATAGGTTTATTTTGTTCGCATCAACTATGTTTACGTGTCAAATTGGTCCGAAAATGACGTCATCATTACGTTATTTTTGCGTCAAAAAATCACATCGACGTATTTGACCAAAATTCAACGAATTTCGTTCGGAGATGATGTTTAAAGTGAAATATATTAGGTAACCTATTTTCTTGTATGAATATGTGACATGATTCAACAATTTTTTATTTAATGAAATTTTCCATTTATTCTTTCTTTTTTAGAATTTTTAATGTCATTGTTGTATATTCCTAAATTACTTTTCAACTTTAACTCTTTACTTTTATAAAAAAAATATTACATTTTTATATGCCCTTGCCTTAGCCAGAAGCCACTACGTCAATTTTCACATTTAATTATAAAATTTTTATCGGAGATTGTATACATTAAAATATTTTTGTACGAAATTCATCAGTTTTATACTGGTTTTATAGGATCATAAACTATGTTTGGCGCTGCCTGTCTAACATTTCTGGAAATAAATTTTGTTAATCGCGAATTCGGATATTTTTCAGATTAAAATATGGTTTCAAAACAGAAGAACAAAATGGAAAAGAAAATATACGAACGACATAGAGATATTAGCACAGCAGTATTACAATTCAATGGGAATTATGACACCTCGACCCATTTTTCTAGGAGACCGACTATGGTAATTAAAATACTTTTTTTTAAGCATCAATTTTACTAACTATTGCATTCGTGCCTACCACATAAAGTCCTTTAACGTCTGGTATTCTGTACTTGTGTGCGTATGTATTGCATGTATGACGACCAGATAATAGCACGAAAGCTCTAATCCAATTGCACTTTTTATTTTATTTGACAGAACCCTACTGATTTTCAGAATGTTCAACATGACTTTAGTGCTTTAAATATCAGCGTTTTAAAAATGCAAAGCATTTCTTATATAGTATTTTTTATGCACTACGGCAAGAATACTGATTTTACTAAAGTCTATTTAAATTTAATTTACGCCTGATGTAAACAGAAGCAGGTGGACGCTAAAATTAAACAGGGCCGTATTTTACTTTTCCGTCTTGCAAAAATGTAAAATAAAAGAGTGTAATTGTGAAATTATTTTTTTATTACGATAAAAACATATTTTGTAAAGTAAAACTATAAAATAAATGCCATACACGGTCTCCCAGACTTTACTGACATTTCTGGACGAAGATAGGTGAGCGACATAAACTGCATTAACCTGCAATACAAATTAATAAATGTATTTGACCTTAAAAGAGATGGTTGCATTATATTTAGTTCATTAAATATGTCTACTGTGATACAGAGCATTAAAACAATCATATTATAAAATTATATTGTCCAAATAATTGCAAATTCTTTAATAGCTGATATATATCTACTAAAAGCATTAAAAAAACTTTAAATATAAGAGGTATTTGGTATTTGAATTTGGTATTTGATTTAAAATTGTGCATCTTAAAAAGAAACCTTTTGTATTTTTGATAACTTTTGTTCTTTATTGTTCTTGTTCTACTAGTATTTAGATTAGACAACTTGTACCCTGTATTATAGCAATCTTCCTTACTTGACTTAGCACTATTCTGAATCGGATAAATTAGTTACACTTGAAAGGCTATCTTCATTAATCAAAATTACAAGTGGTTCTACCTGAACCTCTATAATATTATCCAACTCCCACATTTTTACTTCAACTTTTTGGCGAACATGGTCGATACACTTTTTCCATTTTTCTGGAGAAATTAATAATATTACTTCTTCAAAAAGAATTTTAATGTCTCCAGATTTAAATATTGAGTTTTTATCTGCTACGTATTGTTTAACGTCAACTTAGATTAATTCAATAGGGTTAAGTTCACAATGATACGGAGACATGTGAAGTATTATGTTGTTTTGCTGCTTAGCCATTTCATCTATTACATACCTCTCATAATGTTTATGTTGCTTACCAAATTTTAGAAGTTGGATCTTAAGCATTTGGTAGTCGAATTCAATTTTTTTCCCTTATAGCCATTTTTAAATATCACCTTTTTTAGACGTCACACACTGGGGCAACAAGCCATCAAAGTTGGCAATAAATCACAGACTCTCTTTATGAATTTGTAAGTTAAATATTGCTTTGTAGAGGTGTTAGTATTACAAATGAAAATACACAGAGGGCCCTTAAAGTGTTTGTTTGCTAAAAAAAAAGAAAGTTATTAATAATATAATATATTAAAATTGTATATTCTATTGAGCCCTCCATGTATTTTCTTTTGTAACACTAACATATAATATAATAAAAATGTCATGGACCTAATGAGGCCTAAGTGCCGCGGGGGTAATCCACCCTCCACAAGTTAAAGATACAGATAATAAAAATGTAATATTATAATAATTTCATTTAGAAAAGCTATGATAATAGTAATCAAATTTCATCCTCTTTAGAATGTGATAAGACATTTTCTTCATCGTCTCCACGGTCATCATCAGTGTCATGAATATACCATGGCTATGAAGCTAGACGAGTCCAGATTTAAACAAATCTACTGCTTCTTTAGGAAAGTGCTGCAGGTTATTTCTTTTCTAATTTTCGTTTGCTCGTGATTACAAGGTCGAAACTAAGTAAAAACTAATTAAAGACGTCCACATTAGTTTTCTCTGTTAATTGGTCTACAAAGCAGAAGATATTATTTCAGGCCCATGTATAAAGTATTTGTGCAAAATAAACTAGCTCTAAATCGACTCATATTTCAATTAGGTTCGCCATCCTGAAATTTAAAATTTCCGCCATTTTAATTTAATGATCTGAAAGTATATTTACATACCTACCAAATCAGACCCATTGAGTTCAAATCGGTTAAAATCTAAAATAGCAGCGTTGCAAAGCATAATGATGTGTTATTATAAGCTTCTATGAAAACATAAAACCAGATAATTTTGATTGTCTATATCTTACGATTGAATGGAAAAATCGTGCTCGGAGAGGTCTTAAAATAAAGAAAATAGGTTAGATTTAACTTTTGTTGTTAGATTTTATATTTAATTCATAATTATTACGCAAAACGAGTTTTAAATGGGTTACTATTAGGCTCGTTTTTTTTTCTTCAATTAGGTCATCTTAAATTTTACATTTCTAGCATTTTGTTATGTCTGTCTGGAAGCATATATAGTTGCCTATAAAATGAGCCTAAGGAAAATAAAATCGATTTATTAATAAACGAAATATAGTGCTTTTCAGATAAAAGTATCCACCTTAAGTAACTTTTGAAGGACTGATTATTACAAAAAACAAAAAAATACGTCAATTAATATTCGAAGGGGGAGATATCGTGCCATATTTAAGTTTGCTAAAAAAAGTCACCCTTTCACCCCTATTATCATCCCTTCAATTTTTTTAAATGGCTTGCCCCATTTTTTTTATCCATTTTTGGATTGCTCTCGTTTAACTAATTTCAAAAATGTATAAAACATGGGGATTAAAGTAATTAGTTTACGATCTATAGAATTTTAAATTAAAATAAAATTGAATTGTGCTTAACTTTTATTTTAATGATTTTGTCACAAGCGTTTCCAATGACAAAACGAATATTTCATTTTCAAAATTTATTATAAAAATTGTTCAAAATGTCCACCATTTACTTCCATACAATGGTATAACCTAGATTGAAAAGCCTCCCTGACATTACCGAACACGTGTGCATTTAAATGTAGGCATTCATACTCTATTCTTTGTCGTAAATCTTCTAAAGATTCTGGTTGGGTAGCATAATTTTTTGTTTTTAAATAACCCCATAAAAAGAAGTCTAGAGGTGATAAATCTGGTGATCTAGGTGGCCACTCCATCATCGAGCCTCTTCTACCTATCTAACGATTGGGGAAAGTTTCATTTAAAAATTGTCGTACTGGCACAGCAAAATGTGGAGGCGCTCCATCCTGTTGAAAGACAAGCAAATCTTCAGAAAGATTATGATCATTTTCTATTATTGTTGTAATACGTGGATCAATTACTTCTCTCAATAACTCAAGATATGACTCTCCATTTAAGTTTCCGTCTAAAAAGAAAGGTCCGACTATGTGGTCACCTAGGATACCACACCATACATTTAACTTTTGAGGATTCTGTGTGTGGTATTCACGCACAACATGTGGATCACTCTCAGCCCAATATCTGCAATTATGTCTATTAACTAAACCATTAACTGAAAATGTGCATTCATCCGAAAAACAAAGGTTGTGCAACAAATGTGGATTGTCAGTCAAGCGCTGACTCAATAGTTCACAAAATTCAAGACGACGATCAAAATCATCTTCATACAACTCTTGAACCACTTTAATTTTGTGTGGATGGTACTTATGCTTGTGTAATATTCGATAAACTGTGGAAGATGAAATACCTACTTCTCTGCTTATTGTTGTCAGTGACTGTGCTTGTTGATTTTCAAGACTTACTTGTCCTAAAACTGCGACTTCAATTGCTTCGTTATTTACGAGTTCCTGTCGGTTATGTTTTTTATTGCCAACTGACCCGGTTGATGTAAATTTATGCATAAGATCAATTACATACTTATGAGTTGCATGACCTCCTTGGTGTGTTTCGTTGAAAATTCTAGCAGCAGCTCGTGCAGAACTGTTATTTTTATAGTATAAACCTACAAGTTCAATTCTTTCTTGTAAACTGTAAACCATTTTCAAATCAAATAAATAACCTCAACAAATCAATGTGCACATGTATCAAAATACACTATAAAAGTAATTTAAATTCATTTTTCAAATCTCCAGTACCTTTACCATGTATCATAAAAAACTTCAACAAGTTTTTAGCGGTACGATTAAGGTATAATGTATTCTAAATCCAATTTTGCTGCAGTCAGTAAGGTGAGATGTAAAAATTTGTCACTCAAATAATGGAACCCTGTAGATCATAAACTAATTATTTTAAACCCCATGTTTTATACATTTTTGAAATCAGTTAAACGAGAACAATCCAAAAATGGATAAAAAAATGGGGGAAGCCATTTAAAAAAATTGAAGGGATGATAGTAGGGGTGAAAGGGTGACTTTTTCAGCAAACTTAAATATGGCACGATATCTCCCCCTTCGAATATTAATTGACGTATTTTTTTGTTTTTTGTAATAATCAGTCCTTCAAAAGTTACTTAAGGTGGATACTTTTATCTGAAAAGCACTGTATATTAAAAAAGACAGAATTCGTTTTTGATGATCGTCCCGCCATATATTTATATACTTTGAAAAAACCCAAATAGTGAAGAAAAGTGCAAATAAGTGCACAGAAACTGAACGATTTCGAAAAGTACAAACAATATTCATTATGAAAAGTCGAAATTTAAAGCTTGGACTGCTTTGGAACACAACAAATAGCCTTCATGTATTTAAGAATATTTTAAAATTTTAACGTTTAACCTTAATTTTATTTAACCCCAATATTATAAGATTACGTTTATTTTTCTACAACTTTTACTTTTTAAAATAATAATACAAAGCTGAAGGCTCGATGGCGAAAATTTGAAAAAAAAAAATCAAAATACAGCCTAAACACAGCACAGAAACAAGTTAAAAACTACGAAATAACAATGAATATATCTCGTCTCAGATAAGTAACTTCGACTGAGGATGGTGATGAAACGCGTGAGGCAGAAGATCGCACTTGTTCCTTTTATTATGTAG